AGCTCAAGTTTAGTGGAAACGTGGCGAAACTATTTGCGAAACTGCGAAACGAAATATGGTTAGAATCGGAGTTCTAGCTAGATCGCAAAGATACATTCGTGAAACGTGTTCTACGGCGGGAACGAAAGCATCGAGAAGGCAGACCGTGCCTCCATCATCTCGCAGATACAAATTACAGAGCGACACATAAAACTACTAAATACAAGGTATGTAAGATCGGTGGCGTCCCCACCCCTAACCATGTGACCGTGGCCATATGAATTCAAACGAAAATTCACAACGCTTGACTTGAAATTTCCCTCAAATTGCTAAAAATAAAATTCGAATTGCGTGCTTGTGTCTGTGCCTGTGTGCGATAGTGACTTTTTGGTGAAAATATCGTGGAAAACGCACCCCATGCGCTGCTCTAAATGCTATCTGTACTTCTCGACAAGGAGTTGGGGGCGTGTCCGCAGCCGGAGCCGGAGCCAGACTCGGGGCCTAGCAGCGTTTCCATTTCCTTTTCCCAAATTTCCACATGTGCATGTGCAGCAAACTGCAACTGCACACTCGAGTGGTGTTGGCGGCACAAATGGCATGGCCGTGGATCGCTATTTATAGCAAGCGCATTAGTATCTGCATGCTACATGGAGAGCATATGTATGTATCTGTACGAGTATCTGTATCTTTCTTTGTGGAAAAATGTGTAAACTACATTTGCAAACATATTTGAATTTCTTCCGAACCATCGTCAAAGCTCGCCAGCATAAGCTACAGGTACGTGTACAATTGGATGTTTCCTCGAAGCCACGAGTATACGAGTATATTATTATTGTATTATTGTATCTCCATATGCGTGCGCGAGCGAAAAGAAACACTTTAAAAATGGCCGACCAATGCAAAGTTGCAGTTGCAATCGTTTCGCTCCCCACATGCCGCCATGTGCATATGTATATATATATATATATGTATATGTATGTAGCATACACATGCACGGATGTATCTATATGTTGTTTATGCCCCCGCTCTCGCTCTCTGCCTGCCTCTCTGTTTCTGTTTGCTTTCGCCTAATTTTTCGTGCCTTTTTTTACACAATTTTCGTTGAAATGTTGCCCTTTGCTATCTATCTATGCCTGTGTTTGTATTTGTATCTGAGTTATGCCTCGTGTCTGTGTGCGTTGAAAAAGTGCAATGACCCATGCGTAGCGCGAATGGGCCGCTCTTGGCTACACGCTCCCCTCACCCATACCCCTCTCTTACTCTATCCGCTACTCTCCCCTGCCTCCAACACAATGTCAGCGGCGGCGTCGCGGGTCTACGTGCTACTTTCCATAGTTGCAGCAAATGACGCGCGCGATAAATTTTCAACTTTTTCGTTTCTCTGCTGCTTTGCTGCTCTCTGTTTGTTTCCCCGTTTCCTCCTCATTTTCGTATTCGTATTCGTTGTTTCTTGTTTTCCTGTCTTTTGCTTGCATTTTTATTAATTTACGTCGGCTGCAGTTTTTGTTTGTTTTCTGACTGTTGCTCCCAACACACACACCACGCACACTCAGTCGGATAGAAATGCATAAGTAAATATGTACGAGAATCTGATAGATACATATGTACATACATACATATGTATGTATGTATTTCGCCGTTTCCCCGCATGAAAGTGGGAGGGGGTGGGTGGCGAAATTATCCAAGAGATTTGGTGCAGTGGAGAGAATTTTGTCATCAATTAGCACCAAAGTGCGAGTGCGTCTTTATGGCCAGGATAGAAGGTCCTGTATCGCTCAGTGGTGTCCGACAGGTTTCTGTTGGCCGGAGGCGGCTTCTGTTTACCTTTCATCCTTGCTAATTACTTTTGTACGGATTTTCACGTGCCGATGCAACTTCAAAGATTCGTCAACAACTTCAAGCTACAAAAGGCGATACTTGAGGGCGAGGCCACGACCAGGTCAGGACCAGGTCAGGACCAGCAGAAGCAGAGTCTGAACAAGGACCACCGCTGACGATCTGTCAGGAGAGCGCAGCAGGGAGAGGAAACGAGGTAAAGGGTTGTCTGGGAAATGCGGGAAATTACAGCTACGTCTCGCTTCATCGGAGCGGTTTCCTTTTGTTTTTTATATTTCCTTAGTTTTGCATTTTTTTTTTTTGCATGACAAATGAGGAATATCCATTATGGCTACTAAGATTGAATCACCCCAGGCAGACTAGCCTGGTTCCAGTTCCAGGAAAATCCTTTCCTGCAGTTCCACTGAACTATTTTGGCACATATTTTTGAGAAGCAATAAAGACATAAACCTTAATATTCCTTAATTAAACCCTTTCGCGATGAATCGTAAACACGCATGCAGCAGGTCAGTGCAATGGTCGCTATGAGCGGTGCCGTCTCCATGTGCTGACCATAAGCTGCACAAAGAACCCGGTCCGATTGAACTTATCGCGAAAATTCCGAGACGCCTGAGAACCGTACACATTCGTCGTGCAGTTTGCAAATACAAATAATCGATAAGTAGCAATATGAGAGCAATGCAATTTTTAGATCTCCCTCCATTAACGCGGAATTTTCTACAGCGAATTATAGATTGCATCCAACGAGATTTCTTACACTCCCACTGCGCACATGTCCACACCACATCACATCACAAAATTGCATTATACGGCAACTACCTGGACAGGACTCAGCTTCATTGAGTGACTGCACTGCGGTTGGATTATGTGTGGATTCTCTCTGCTAATCCCACATAATGATCGTTGGCTCAGAGCCGGAAAACATCTTCATCTTTTTTTTTCATCCTTATCCAATCTTCATCCTTTAGTCAAAAAGTCAGCAAAGTCAACACTGACCAAAAGGCGGATAATAGTTTAGGAAAATTCACGATGATAAACATGTGTACATACATATGTATGTACATATGTATACATTTAGACAGTGGCGTGTTAAAGGGGGTTCTTTAAGGACCGATTGAGTATCCTATCGTGTCCTTACATTGCCCATTGATCGACGCGAATCCTGGATGTAGCAGCCTGCGCATTTGAGCTGTGGTTCGGCGTCCTTTGTTCCTTATTTTACACTTTCACTGACATATAATGATATGAACAGGGGGGAATCGTTGATAAGATTAAAAGCGGAGAAAATTCTGGGGGCACGCTGAGTGCCTAGAGCTCATAAATGCTCGTGTCCAGATTATGGAGCAGTTGCGGGAAGTTTTCATTTTTTATACTCGTGCTTATAATTTTATGTTGCACTATCAGGTTCGTGCGCCCCCTTGGTGGGACGGGGGAGTTGAATGCACTTGCGAACTAGTTTCGGGCGAAGATAGGGCCATACGAATCTCGCAGCCCTGCCAAAAATGCAGTTGAAAAATGAACAGATAGAAACGACTCCGTGAAATGCGGTTGACCTTAATTTCCAAACATGATTAATGGGTTTGGCAACGCAGAGTGGAGGCCCAGAGGAGCGGAGGAGTAGATGGAAACAGAGGGTCGGAGGAAAGGGCGATGCTATGGCGAGCACCGAAAAAATTAATGACGAACAATTAAAAAATGTAAGTTAAATACAAACAGCAAAAGTGGAAAGCAGAGACGAGTCGAAACCGAGCATGTGGTACAGCTGCATCAAGCTGCATTAGTGCATGAAGAGGACTGTGACTAGGACCTTTGCTTTAGCCGAAAACTGCATGAGATGCAGGTGCATTACCCAAATTGCAGAAGATTTCAAATTTTGCCCCCTCTGCTTCTTTCGTCTGTTCCTCAGAACACTACCCCGTCGACCGTTATTTTGTAATTTGCATACAAATTCAAGAAATCGTAAAGGGTTAGGGTAAAGTAGAGGGCAAGCCCTATGCAAATTTGTTGCAGTCGACCCCTAAAATGTATTCAATTATGCATTGATTGCCGAAGGTCGTTACTTATCTTTATACCATTCGATTCGGAATTTGCATAACTAAGACATAGACAAAGAAGAGGAAGACGGAGGCCGAGAAATTGTCCTTTCCTACCTACTATGCACGATTAGCGAGAGTAGAAGAGAGAGATACTAAATAGGAAAAAGAAACATAAACATGAAAATAACGACAAAGCATAAAACGCAGTTCAAAATGGCGCTGCTGCTGTCATTGGCACCAATATCGGTGGAAGCGAGAAAGAGAGAGCTGCAGTGTGCTCCTTTTTTTTGGCGATGCATTTTTCGTGCTGTTCCAACTGACCGAACCGAACCGCGTCGTCGGCAGGTTGTCAGTGCGTGGAAAACTGGTATCCGAGTGAATTTTCGTTTGTTCTCCTTTTTTTGGTTTCCCTTCCCTTCGACGCCACGGTGCCGTTCCCCGCAAACTCTCGCTCGAAGCTCGGCAGCCATATGCAACCTCACACACAGCACACTTACACGCACATAACTCTCACGCACTGCAAGAAACAGACGGGCAGAGAGAGAGAGAGAAAGAGAACGTTGCAGTGTGCAAGCGCAAAAAACGCACAAGACTGCAAGCAATGAATGCGTGCGCGAGCGAGAGAGCGCGAGGGTGCGCCGAGACCGTAGGACAGTTTTCCTCTCACGCGTCGAACAGTTTGGTTTATACTGCTGTCTCACTCGGTGGGTCGGGAAATTTGGTCTTCAATGACTTGGCTGCATAGAGCGCCGTGGCAGTTTTATTCAACTTTGAACGCTCGAATCTGCAACAACGCAAAACCAACAACGCAAGACCAGAGGAAAACGACAAACGTGTCGCAGTTTGTGGAATCATAAGATTTCAAGAATTCCATCTGGGATAAGCATTAGCTGCGTCCTCAACCAGTGTCTGTGCGTGCGGGTGTTAGTGCAATTTCGATTTGGATTTACCTAATTTAACAGTCAACGATAACTAATTCTAAACACAACAAATTAAATCAATTAAAATCGAGCAATGTGAAAACTTTCAAAACAAGACAAATTAAAATACGAGCAAAAACCTAATTGACATACAATCAAACCAATTTGTTAAAATATCAAGAAGCCGCTGCAAGTGTCCAGGACTCTCTCTTTGGTCACTAAAAAGAAAAGTTGTGCTTCGTCTGTGGCGAATTCATAATTTTGTGGTAAGCCTTGATTATTTATCAGCTATTTGACTTAATTAAATTAGTGCACATAGTAGCTGAACAGCTCTTTAAATTTTTTTTTCATTCGTTTGGGCTTCCAAAATCGTCTTTTTTTTTTTTGGTAATTTCGCAATTCAAATTCGTGGTACGTGTTCAAGAAATTGACACAAAAAAAAACTGGAAAACCCTAAACCTGTTTCCAAGTGCATTCGATTCAATGACGTCCGTCCGTCCAAATGTTATTTTTGGATCATTTTTAATTAAATGTTTTACAAAATGGTGGCCCACTGTTAGCCAAAGCTGTGAAAGCTCACTATAAGAGCTTTCGGAATTTTGGCGATCACGACGTATGAGCGATTTCGCACCAGTATAGGAGTTCCTGTGGGGGCAAGAACGAGGCGTTAATGCGTTGCTTGATGGCCACATCTAATGCGCTTACTCGGCCAACGTCAATCCCCAGACAAGAATTCAAAACCGCTTACCTGCTCAGACAGAGACAGAAACAGAAACAGGCAGCGGCTTCAATCTGTTGCGCAAAACAGCAGCGAAGGATCGGGGGATGGGGAAGGGATCGCTGCAGGTTGCCCATTATCCTGTTGGCCAGACAATGGACAGATAACAATTGATGATCTCTTGCGCATTTTCCGCACTCCACCTCCATCACATCACCATCCCCGACAATAATACGATCGTTTGTTTGCCTCCTTTGTCTGATTGTCCGCTTTTCTTCTCTGCCCTCGCCGTCTCCGTCTCTCCTCTCACCGCTCGCAGGGGCCTCGCCCCTTTGACATTTCCTTGTTGTTTGATTGCCATTATCTGGCCTGGCTTCGCTTGGTTCGCAATTCCGCCGATTGCTCGACTGGGGCCCCGCTCCTATCATACCTGTTGGTAACTGGGGACTCACATATACACTCGTACATGGCCCGGCACGGACGACTCACAACGACACATGGCAAGGACGAGGGAGGGAGGTTGCCCGATGCATGATGCATGATGCATGTCCAACACATGACGCAGATGGGCCATCGGCTCGGCATATGGCGTCCACTTGAGTCTGAAATTCGACTACGAGTCTGGCCTCTCCATGGGCAAGCCAAGGGCAAGGGCATGGGCATATAGCCTCCCTCGTCCTCGCAAAATGAATGAAAATTATTGCAAGTTTTTCAGTAACATTTTTCGTTTTCCTGTGTGTGATGGGTGTGGGTGTGTTGGTGACTTTCCTTTCCATTTCCACTTTCCAGGCGGCGTAAAAAATGATATACATATAGATACTTCCGTATTTACGTATATATGTATGTATGTTAAGTAAAACGCGCGAAAAGCAGCCGGAAAAATACGCGCACACATCTTTCGAGGGATGTTTGCATATTTTTTCCCCCAATTTTTTCTACACGTTTTCGTTTACCCTCCTCTGCCACTGCCTCAGTCTGTGCCTCCTTCATTGGCAAGGAGCGCTTTCACTTTTTATGGCGCATAAAACTTCAGGGGGTGGCGATAGGCATAAATTTTACAGGCAAGATTTTCCGCCAAAAAACAGAAAAACAGGAACAGGAATGGGAACGGGAACTTTTGCAATGGGGGTGGAGGAGGCGAAGACGATGAAAAATGGAGTAGGTGACCATCCCCAGTTTCGCACACCTGTAAATATACGCGTGTGTGTGTGGAGAAGGCAGAACAATATAGAGAAGTGAAGGAGGGGGACGAGGAGTATATTGCCAGTTTGGTTACTCTGGCTACTCTGGTTTGAGAAATTCACTCGTTGAACGTCACCTTGATTTTAGCAACCCATGCGAAATTTGAAATTTGCTTCCCCATTGACATTTTGGGAATCATTTGTGCAAACTCTGAAAAGCAACTAGCCGGAGCTAGCGGAGCGAAAATCGTTTACTAATTCTCACGCAAATCTTTTTCTCTCCTGCGGCAGGCCCTCCAGTGATCCCGAAGCCTTAAACTGGCGCTCAAAGTCCGGAAGCATCTTTCCTCTTACTCGCCAACGCTGCTGAGTGCCGCGTTCACCAGCCTGAACAGCGTCTACCACAGTAGCAGCGACACCGCTCCTGACGAGGAACCGGACCAGCCGCCAGTCCATCACCAGGGACACCCACATCGCCAGCGAGTGCATAGCCATAGTCAGAGTCACCGGGATCGCAGCCACAGCCAGAACAGTAGGGTAGGAGAGATGGGCGGGCCCACAGCGCCCGTGGCCAGCAGCGAAGGCCAGACGTACTGCCTGCGTTGGAACAACCACCAGACTAACCTGGTGCAGATCCTGCACGCTCTGCACGAGGTCGGCAGCTATGTCGACTGCACCCTAGTCGTTGACGATGAGCAGTTCAAGGCACACCGTGTGGTGCTGGCGGCCAACTCGCCGTATTTCCAGCACATCCTGCAGGACGTGCAACAGGACCAGTGCAGCATAATACTGCCGGGCGTGAGGGGCTTTGAGATCGCGGCCTTGCTTCAGTACATGTACACAGGTGAGACCACGGTGACCAAGAGCCAGGAGCCGGAGATCCTGCGCACTGCCAAGGAGCTGCAGGTGAAGGGGCTCTACGACAATCTGATGAAGTATAACCACAAGGCGGCCAGCGCAGCGGAGGAGCGTGTCCAGAGCCAGTTCCATGCCAGCATCACGCCCACCTCCAGCTCCGGATTGGGCGCTGGCTCTGGCAAGCCCCTCAACGGGTCCTCTGCCGACGGTTCCTACGGCCAGCAGCACCACAACTCCTCCTCCGTGATCTCAACGTCCACGCACATCTCGCCCAGCGCCGCCATCTCGAGCAGCTGCTCCCCACCGCCCCCGCCATTCGGAGCTTACCAGCCGCCGTACACAAACTTCCCGCCTGGATCGGGAGCTATCAATCCACATCCCCATATCCCAGCCGCAGAGACGCCCCTGACGCCCACCCATTCCGCTTCGCACGCCGTAGCCGGTGAGGCTGGACAGTGGCCCCTCTCGCCCTCTGCTGCCGCTGCCGCCATGCTGAACTCCGTGTATGAGTCCGCGGCCGACATGAATCCGCTCAAGCGCAAGAAGCTCTCGGCCATCTCAAGCATGCTACTCAATAGTACCCGGGACACACCCATTCTGCGCAACGTGCTGGCCCAAGCAAACCCAGCTGACTCCTCACAGCCCAATCCTCAGCTGCTGAAGAGCTCCTCCACATCCTCCCTAAATGAGAAGACTCCCACCCATCAGCACCAGCACACGCACCAGCACCACAGCGGAGGTGGAGTCGGCGTCGGTGTTAGCGGCGGTACCGGGAGCCACAGCTTCAACGGCTCGGATTACGGCGGTGACAAGGAGCCCCTATCGCCGCACACTGACCGTTCCTTTGATGAGGAGACCAGCGGGCCGGGTGGCAAGAAGCCGGAGTGGAAGCGTTATAAGCAATACACCCGGGCGGACATGATGTGTGCCATTCAGGCCGTTCGGGAAGGCATGAGCGCCCTCCAGGCGAGCCGCAAGTACGGACTACCCAGCCGCACCCTCTACGACAAGGTTCGCAAGCTGAACATCACCACAGGCCGTGGCACACACCGTACTCCCAAGCGTAGCCCACCAGGGGTGGAGTCTTCTGCCGCCTTTCCCTACTCTGCGGCAGCCGCTGCTGCAGCTGTCCACAACTACGGACATGTCCATGGGCATGGCCAGACGGATCTAGAGCGTGAGGCAAAGGAGCATGGCCAACATAGTGGCCATGGAGGCGGCCACCACGGCATGCCACCAACCATTCCCCACTCGGCAGCCGCCCTTCTTGATCACGCCTTTCTACAGCAGGCCCTAGAGAACCGAGGCGGGGATATGGCCGGACGTGAAGCACTCCACGCCATGGCCCTGGCAGCGGCAGCCCACGCAGCTGCCAACCGAATGTCTAGCAGCCCCCAAGAGTCGGGGTCCAATGGACACGCTGCCAGATCTCCAAGTCCGAGGGCTCGTCACTACTCTGAGCACGAGGCCATGGAGATAGAGATGGAGAAGCACGAACAACGCCTGATCAAGAGGGAGCGTGACCAGGATGAGCGCGATGACGCTGACGATGAAGATGATCATGACCAGGAGCAGGATCAGGATCAGGATCATGATCACGACCATGTGGAAGATCTCTCGCTGGCACGCAAAGAACGCCCCGAGTCGCCCTACTCTCCTCAGCCCCCACGGCCCTCGTCGCCGGTCGAGAGCGCCAGTGTTATCATGCACTCCAATAGCGCCTCCACCAATGGAAAGGACCCCGAGGATTATCCCCACTCACCACCGCCCGTAGCCCTGGGTCTGGGCCTGAAGCGGGAGCTACTTGGCGGAGAGGATTCTCAGGCCAGAACTGACTGATTGACGCTTACTATGGCCTGGCAGTACGCGGCGGACAGCTACGATTCCATATGCTAGGCCAGCTAGGCCAGATCCACGATCCCAGTACACCGACCCAATGTTACCCTCCCCCTTGTGTTATTATTTTCTTTTCGGCGTACAACGTGCGACTAAACTGTTGTTTTCTCAATGGCATCGATATCGATCAGCGATCAGTCGATCTGCGTTGGTGAAGCTTTAAACGAGAACCCCTCATCCCAGTCGAGGCGGGTGCACACCAGCATCTGCACTTTAGGAGGAAATCAAATCAAATCCACAATTTAAAATAAAATAAATTGTTGTCAGCATCACTTTGTGCCTAATACAGAAACGTTAGCTTAGAATAGGATATGCATAGGTTACACACATACACACAAAAACATTATGCTAGGAAACACCCCTCACTTGGACAGTTAGGCTAGGCGCTCGATGGCCATCTTGACGCCTGACCCATGTTATAGCTAAGGAACGATATGTAAACTATACACTTACATAAGACTGAAGGAAGAGACCGCATATTGCAGGCGATCAAGGGCAGAGCAAAAGAGGCTACCGATACCCTGCAGGGTAGGAACATTTGACAGAATCAGATCAATTTAAGGATCGGATCAAAATGAGTTAGCAATACTTTGTACAACTTTGTTAATGCCAGTGATTTGTTTTAAAAATTATTAGCACTAGATATTTATAATAGATACATATGAACATACATACGTATAAAGCCTTATGTTTATGATTTCCGAGACCTCTATAAGAACAGAAACAGATATGAACACAACTACCTCAATAAAGCCTATTCTAGTTTTTTCAGAAGAACGAACTTCTTTGTTATCCTAGCAATAACATATTAGCGTTAAGCACTGTCCTGGGTTGAATTTTATAAGACTGACACCGACTCAAACGTAGCACGAGAGTATGCAACCGGAGCCGAGCACATTAAATACAAATACAAATTAAAATACAAATCGCAACCTATCGAGTTGAGCGTACAAATTCAGAACCATAACTTACTTAGTTCTAAGCCAACTTAAAATAAATGAATTAGTCCATAGGCAACAGCTACAAATACAACTATGACTACACATAATAGAACTTAAGCAAAAACAAAGCAAAAAAATTTAATATAAGCAAAACCAACAAACATGCGCTGGGGGCAATGCAATAGGCTCTTTAATTATAAACACCTACAGAGATACAATTATGTAGTCGTACGGTTGATAATGTTAATTTGTTATACGAGTAACCTCTGTACATAGAATCATAGTCTATACACACATCAGACATACATGCACATCCATACAAGTTATACAAAGATCGACATGCAGTTATTATATCTAGTATTAAGTAAAGAAAATTTTAATGCAATTTAAAGCATCCTCTTAGACACTTGACTTTCATTATGCTATGATAAGAGATCGAATGCGAAATAAACTGACTGAATCAATCAAAGATGATGAAGATGAATCCAACTATCACTATCGCCGAGTCGCAATATCGCGATTTGCGAGTTTCGTAGCCATTCAGTCTGGAATTTATCTTTATTACAATAATCTGTTAGAAAAATACACACATATCGTTTTACGTCCACCCAGACTGGATTTGGGTTGCCTCGGGTCTACGATGGGGATTCGAGTGCGGACTTGAACCGAACTAAGACGAACACTATACACACGAGACTATCTAACTACACGCAAATATTGCAAACATTGAGGTACAAGTCTTGGCAAATGATTTGGCCATTCTCAATTTTCATCCACTTAAATTACTGGCAACCCGCACAATTGGGCTGGGGGCGGTTTTCAAAATCGCAGATTCCAATGGCCAAGCGGAAGGGTTTATGATTGGGTAAGTGCATGGGCCTGCTGGAAGGCATGGGTAATCCCGGCAGGACCAGCTCTCGTTCCTCGTACTCCCACTTGTGGTGGCTGGTTGCAGGCTCGGGCGGGAAGTTGCTGATTGAAAGGGCGCGATCGATTCGGATGAGCGGTGGGTCGTCGTTGGGACTGTGTCCGCAACGGGCGCAGTGGGCCAGTAACTTGGCTTCACTGAGGAACGCCAAGCGGCAGAAGTTGCACTGGTAGTTTATGCCCTTGTTGTGGAGAACCAGATGGCGGTCCAGTTGATGCTGGAATTCGAACTCGTCCTGGCACTTGTGGCAAATATACACGCCGCGGTTTTGCCGATGCAGATGGTAGTCGAGGAAGACTCTGCAAAGTACAGAAGGGCATGTTAGAAGGTAGATTATACGAGGGAGCTATATACATACTTGCTGGTAAATACATCTCCGCACTTCTGGCAGTAGAACCAGCTCATCTTCCAATGACGCATATAGTCGTGCTTCATCAACTCACTTAGGCTATCCGTCTGGTAGCCACATGTGAAGCAGGAAAATTCATTCAGCTCGACCTGCGCCTTCAGCAAATCAAGCATGGATAGATCTGCCGAATGAAACAATAAATTTATCACTTCAAAAGCGGTTTCTACGCCTCACATATGCTTTGTATATTACCGTACTCCTTGTCTGTTCTTATATGTGACTCCTCCAACACGTAGTTATCATAGAGCCGGGACAGATTGAGAGCACTGTTGCTATTGCTTCGGCTGTGGTTCACAATCCAGTCGCCCGTAAAGTTCATTCTCCGTGTGTACATGGCATCCACCTGCTCATCTTGTTCATTTTCTTCCAGCTCCTGCTCGTCATATACGCTGTCATCGTCCTCCTCCTCGACATGGGTAGCATACTTATTCCAAACTTCGGAACATGCTCGCGAACGCGACCGAGTGGACCGTGCCCTTCCCCTGTGAGTAGTCTCCTCCATATGGTGGATTTTTAGAGCCTGCGAAAAGTATGTAGTAGCTCGTGCTGTTTCAGAAATAATTTGAGTTGTTACTTGCCTCATGCTTGGCACTGCAAATTGTGTTGTGCAGCTCCCACTCATACTTTGTGTCGAATGACGCCTCGCACAGACTGCACGGATGCCGAGTTTGGTGTGTATTGCGCTGGTGCTGGCGTAGGCTGATTACTGTTAAGAACACCTTTTCGCAGTGGCGGCAGTGAAAGGTGCGAGTGGGGCGCAGGGACGGCTGCAGCGGACGCGGCGACACAGTGTCGTCATCGCTGCCGGCTTCATTGAGAACACGACACCTAGCCTTAGGCAGTCGTTGTTGCGGCTTGCAGCGGCGAGAGTGCATAGTGAAATAGTCTTTGCGGAAGTAGGCTCGCCCACAGTGCTGACAGATGAGCCGTGTACGCCACTTCCAGCCGTCCTGGGCATTGACACTGTTATTGCGAGTTCCGCCTGACTCGGTGGCCGAAGGAGACTCAGGTGGCTGGGCAGAGTAGGCTTCTAGTACGGAGCAAGAGGACCGTGAGCTGTGACTGCTGTGTTCATTGGCTGCCATTTCGCCTTCCTGCACCTCTACCAGAGTGGTGGACACCTCGGCATCCGCTATCGGAGGACTGAGTTGTGTGGGCGTAACCGTAGTCGTCGTCACGGTGGATGTGCCGCTTCCTGCATGCTGCAACCGTTGCATCCGCTGCATTAGAGAGCGAGTGACCTCCGAGTGCATGTTCAACTTGCAAACGCACTCTACGCATATAGCCTTCAGCGTAGACCGGATCACATCTGCCTGCAATAGTGAGAGATAGTGATTACTTTTAGTGTGCGAGTAACGCTGCGGAATACTCACCTGCATCTTCCAGTCCCGACTGAGGCGGCGCTGCATTACCTGATTGGACCTGAGGTCCAGCAGGGCAGACGATTTGGCGGCCCCGCAGATGGTGCAATTCGCGTTGTCGGCCTCCGCCTCAAAATTCTGAAGCTGGCCGTTGCACCGCCCAGCGAGCCCTTCTTCTTCTTCGAGCAACCCGCCACTGCTGCTCGGCTCCGGTTCAGGAGCATCGACATCTCGCATGATGCAGGAGTCGATGGGGAACAGTCTTCCGCGAAGATGCAATGCATGTGCAAGTGGAAATCTGTCTTTTATATTTGGTTCACTTCGTGTTGGCAGTACGTTGCTGCATTGTGATACGATACCGTGTTTCTTGTCAATTAGAAAAATGGAAAAATTTCTTGCATTCTTTCTGTTATTCACTAAAATTGTTTATTAAACAGAGTACACGAAGCGCAGTTTTTGTAAATATTTATGACTGCGACTGTCAGATATAATGACTACCCTGGCAGCGAACTATCGATAAGTGCATCAGGTGTTGGAGTCGTGCAAGCGACTATTTTATTGGAGGCGCCAAATAAACAGCACTAATCAAATGGACTATTGGGTCGCGACTTCAAAACAGCTCCATTTTGGCGTGTTTGGGAAGTGCGGCTTTGAGGACCAAACTCTAGTCGAGATCTCGGGGCCAACCCAAAGCGGTAAGAGTCTGGTGATGCAAAAGCTAATGGCACACTGCTTGGCTCCATACAAGTACGGAGGTCGTCAATGGAAAATTGTATTCATCAATCTAAGCCACAAAGTAAATCAGGAGTCATTGGAAAAAGCCGTCAGAGCAGAACTGCGGGAATGGATTGGCGAGGATGCACCCAGTGAGGCGGAGCAAGCGGAAATAGCAAAGGAATGCGTCAGTAAAGTTACGTTCATAAATTGCTTCTCAACCGTGGACGTGTTTACTGCCCTCAGAGAAGCAAGACGTGCCGAGCTGATTTGCATGGATACTCTTAGTGAGTTCTACTGGCTGGACTTTCGCACAAGAAGAGAAAGAATTACCAAATACTGGTACTACAAACAGTGGCAGACGAGGCTATGGCAGGCCTGCAAGATTAAGAATATTTGCGGCATGTACACCGTGGACAGCAGTTTTCTGGAGAACAGATACCGAGATACCCCATTGACATATAAAGTCAACTATTCTGTGAAATTAACCAAAAATCGCAGAAAGTTTACATTAAATGGCAAGCCAATTTCGTTTAAAGATAATGTAATTTAAAATTAAAAATATTTCGCTCTCATGTGAAACTTCCATTCTCTCTGACATTGTGGTTAATTTGTTTGTCTCTTTTTTTAAGCCCTATTTTAGAAATAATCAAATTACAAAGAATCATCAAAAATAGCTAATCTTGAAGAAACTTGATTTAACTATCGCATAAAATTATATGTTGAGTGGTTAGAGTTTTTTGCTAGCTAAGTATATTAATCCGAATATCAGAATCGGGGAAATGAGTTCAGATAGCGGACAGAAAACGCTTAACCCATTGTCGACCTGGGGGTATTTAAATTTTTCCGACAAAAATTATGAAACTAAGAATTGAAAAAAAAATCGATACTATCGTAATAGTATCGGGTCTCAAATAATTATTAAAAAACCATTGAAACCTAAGTATATTAGTATATATTAGATGCCACCTGTCGATTTGTATACAAATGTGTCTTCGTATTTTATAGCAGCCAATCCAAACATATCAAAAGCGCAACGACTGTAGCTCGATACTATCATGATAGTCGCAAAACCGTCGATAGTAGAGGCTAGCAGTAAAATATCGATACTATCGATAGTGCCCTCGATGGTTTGACACTCTACGGAAACGTGCTTATTTATTTCTCAGGTCGAGATTTCGGTGAAAAAAAATTAGTGAAAATGGGTGTACAAGTTGTTCCAATTACTCCTGGCGATGGTAAAATATGCAATTAAATTATGTGCAACAGATTCCAGATGCCGCGTGAAGCATAACCTTATAAATGCTTGAGTACATGCATCGGAAAATTACTCGAGCGTTGCCTATATCCATCTCGCTCACTCGCATCCATTTTATATCTTTACAGGCAGCACATTCCCTAAGAACGGCCAAAAAGTCGTCGTGCACTACACGGGAACCTTGGACGATGGCACCAAGGTACAGCTCCTGCATTAAAGTGCTGAAAATGTAAATCTAATTATGTATGAAATCTCCCCTAGTTCGATTCGTCCCGGGACCGCAACAAGCCTTTCAAGTTTACCATTGGCAAGGGCGAAGTCATCCGCGGCTGGGACGAGGGCGTTGCTCAATTGAGCGTGGGCCAGCGTGCCAAGCTGATCTGCTCCCCGGACTACGCCTACGGCAGCCGAGGACACCCAGGAGTCATCCCCCCCAACTCCACCCTGACTTTCGACGTTGAGTTGCTCAAGGTCGAATAAGTATCCAGAGCGAGAGTGCATGTGTGTGTGTGTGTCTGTGAGCACTGCCCGACCGCAGTTGGGTGAGCGTGTGTATACCATCAGAAACACGGACAGGCGCACACACCAATCCAATCAACACCTAGAACACAGAGCCGCCACAGCGGCACAACACTACCAAACCAGAACAATCCAGCAGCATTTGAACTCTACTCAAAAGAAAGCTAATTAGACATAATTTAATCGAAAGGGAAACGCATCTTCTACGCATACTAAATAAACTAAACATTTATTCAAGATCATTATTTTCGACTATTGATGGTTTTTGGACACCACATGCATGATCTGGTCGATGACCTCGTATCGCTCGTGGTTATACTTTTGGGAATGGTCTTGCCAGTGGTTGCGTACACGCTTCCAGCGAGCCATATTGGCTGAGAGCAGATCGTCCTTGGCGGCCCCCTCCAGCTTCTTCTCTTGCAGCTTCTCCTCCTTGGTGTACTCCAGTCGCGGTGGCACCACTGGCAAGTTGGTGGAGCGGGCCTGCGGCATTTGCGTCAACATTTTCAACTCGCCGCTCTTCAGCCTGGCCAGAACTTCCTCGGCGTCGCTCTCCCGCTTCACGGTGGCACTGGAGCCCTCCGTGTTGTAAGAGGACACGGCAGGGTTACGCGGCTGGTTGGCCATCCAAGCACGGCAAATAGGGTATAGTGGAGTCTTTTCGTTGTATTTCGAGAGGTCCAGGCTGCGCTCGAACAGGCGCATTACATACGACTCGCTGGGAGATTTCTGGTTGCCCGAGCCGCTGCCACTTTTCTTGTAGAGCGCCCGCTTCACCTTGGAGCGGTTAGGCAAAACAGTTGCTCCCGCCGTTACGGCGTTCAGTTCCGGCTGCAGCTTCACCTGGTATTGGTTAACTGGTATCTGGCGCTGCTGCTGCTGCTGTTGCTGGATCAGCAGCTTCTTCGACGGGCGGCCACGAATGGGCAAATCGGATTCTGTGTCGTCGTCGGCCTCTTGGTCGCTCACCTCCTCTTTGCGAGGCTCTCGCAACCGTAGCGAAAGCTCAGCCCCCCCAGTCTTTTGCAATTTCTTGGGCGACTTCATGTTTAATGGTACCTTTTTTGCGTTGCAAATTAAAAAACAGAAAAAGGCAAATTTTTGAAACAATCTCGAAAGCCAAATGTAGCTGCGACGTTTTCCAGCACTTGTATCGAAAAATACTGAAAGTATTAAAATAATGCCACAAGTGCGATGGGGAACAATTTGTCGGAAATCTTTCTGGGACTGACAAAAACTCTTCTAGCAGATTTGTGCAGATGGAGCGGGATAAATTTCGATTTTATTCCTCGTTATGTTTACGGAATATTTCTGGGCTATTTTTGAGCTCATACTAGAAACGCAAAAATGAGTCGGGAGAGCGTAAATGCTGTCGTTCGACTGTTTTAAAAGCTCGTTGGGACATTTTGTTTTACCTTCTTTGTGTAAGCCATACTTTACGCAACCAAACTTGAAGAAAATTGATTAATCAATCGGATAAAATTATATTTTCGGTGGCGAGAGTCCAAGCTATCTAGTAATATTAAACTGAATATCAAAATTAACGAATTTCATATCACAAAATATCATGGTATGGCAGCCCGCAGCAACTACGAATTGCACGAGTCTGGCAACGCCACAAAACGACGTAACATTCGTTTTATGTTGTTTTTGTTTTAACCTTATTATGTAAACAATCTAATGAAAACGAATTCTGATAACTAGCCAATCCTCAACAAAATTCATTGAGGAATTGGATAAAATTATTTGTTTAGGGCTGAGAGGGCCAACTATCTAGTAATATTAAACGGAATATTAAATTCGAGGAATATCAACGCATTTTGTCGTGTCCTTCAGAATACTTACGGTATATTATTTAGTCAAGTTCCAATATATTTTTTAATATATTAGGATACTTTTAAAAACGACCGCCAAACTCCATTAATCGTACAAAAATATCGATTTATTCGCTCTCAAATCGTGGTGGCTTTTCAAAATTTGCTCTCTTTTCAGGGGTGAAGAGAGCGTTTTCGTGGTGACTTTTCGTGGTGTGAGAAACATGTATCTTACGGGAACGCGTATGGAACGTATATTCATTGTAGCGACGTTCCTACGCGTTCCCGTAAGAATTTATGGGAAAAATTTCAGCAACATGGGGAAATGAAATAGCAGCATTGTTGTGCAACTTTGGCACGGAATGAGCAACAATCTGCATACCTTGGGAAAATGGATATTATGGACTTGAGATATTGTTTGTAATTTCAGGCTCCAATTAATGCAGAAACTACTCAGTCTCTGTTTTAAAGATATTAACGAAATTTTGCAGCTCACCTGTTCCAATAAAAGGTATCAAAACCGGGATAAATGTATTTATAAAGCACAAAAACATATGCATAGATAGGTTAAAAAACAACTCAATCTAACAGAAATACAATATTAATGTTTCAAAGCAGCCTGAAACAACAAATTTGACATCAATTAAAGGAAATAAGGTATACAAAAGTTCATACGTACAGAAGTAAATTGGTTGACCAGCAACACTGACGTCACATTTAGTCAACATTTACGTTTTATGCTTTAGCCGTTTTTGTTTGAACCTTATTACGTAAACAATCCAATGAAAAAGAGTTCTGGAAACTAGCCAATCCTGAACAAAATTTATTGATAAATTGCATAAAATTATTTTTTTAGGGCTGAGAGGGCCAACTAGCTAGTAATATTAAACGGAATATCAAAATCGAGGAATATCATGTCACAAAATATCATGGTATGGCAGCCCGTAGCAACTACGAATTGCACGAGTCTGGCAGCGCCACAAAAACGACGTCACATTCGTTTTATGTTGTTTTTGTTTGAACCTTAATATGTAAATAATCCAATAAAAATCCAATAGAAAAAACATCCCAATCTTGTAGAAAATTTATGTATCTATCGGATAAAATTATTTGTTTAGGGCTTAGAGGGCAAACTAGCTAGTAATATTAAACAGAATATCAAATTCGAGGAATATCAATGTTGAATGTTTTGAAAAATTCAATCGATACTATCGTGATAGTATCGGGCTCAAATAATTATTAAAAAACCATTGAAACTTGTCCATTGTAAAAGTTAGATGCCACCTGTCGATTTGTTTACAAATGTGTCTTCGTATTTTATAGCAGCCAATCCAAACATATCAAAAGCGCAACGACTGTAGCTCGATACTATCACGATAGTCGCAAAACCGTCGATAGTAGAGGCTACCAGTAAAATACCGATACTATCGATAGTGCCCTCGATGGTTTGACACCTCTAGTTGCTGGTTACTGTGCGCGTCGCATAAACGAAGTTTGAAACAATTCGCGGAGTCGCTGCGTTATATGAGGCAAACAACGGTAAAAGTTGTACGTGCGTGTTTTTATTTGATTTTCATAGATATTTTTCAATCAAGCAAACCAATTCATGAGCCGCGTGCTATTCAGTAAGTTCCCATCGTAAATAATATTATAGGACGTTCAATTAATATGGTTTGCATGGTGACTTTTGCTTAACTTTGCCAAACATAAAACGGAGTTGTTGCTTGACTAAAATGCTGCTGTGATAGTGGCCGTGGATGCGCGCAGCATCCTTGCCGATGACGTCATTCGCTTGCTGACCAGTTCCCAAGACGAGCGGGTGTGCATGTGTGGTGCGTGTGTGCATGTGTGTGTGTTAAATTAGAGCGAAGAAGGAGAACGCAGAACGAACCAAGGCCATATTTTCTAGGCGCCACCGTGCGTTAGAGCGGGCGAGTGAATATTTCTTACAATCAGCATTTTTGTTGTTGTAGAATTCGCATTTTAGTTTTTTGCCTCTATTTATGGTTTTTTCGATTCTAGGATTTCGCAAGATTGAAAGCAACGGCTAAATCGAGCTCGAGTTAACGGTGTACACAGGAAAGTTTTATTCGGGTAAGTGCCGATTTTTCCCCATCAGATATTTGAACTGGGTCAAACAGCAACTAGGTGGGCTGGCTGCTTCTCTCATTACTGATATTTCTACAATACATTCCTATTGTTCATGGCCTCATTTCTATGTAAAGGGAGCCTGCTATTATCTGCTTCAAATAGCATGTAATACATATGTATATGTATTATGTATGTATGCAAATTTTGTAACTGGAGTGTTACGGGGCTGGGGCGGCTGTGATAATGAATTTTTAATGTGTGCTAAGAACCGCAGGCCAGGAACGTCTCGCAGGAATGGAATGGCTGGCGCTGGTGCCAGTAAAAAGTAAAACTCACATAAATTAAACTTCCAACATCTTCAAAGGAGCCAGGCGTAGGGATAGCACGAGTAGTATTCGGAGTTTGCAAAGTTCCGTGCCCCTCGGATTCGTTCCACTCCTTCCACCTTCTGCAGAGGCAGCCCCAAAATGTTTTGGGTTTTTATTTGGGGAGGCTGTAAATAATGAAAGAGCAGACAAGCAGCAGACTGAACTGAACATCAGCGACAACAACACGACGCTTTGCTTCCTGCAGGCTAGTCCTGTGCGGTGCCCCAAAGGAATACGGGGAAACATAATCAAAGGCTTTTCTTGCACCATCAAATAACCAGAGAAATGTTGCCTCGAGTGTGTGCGGGTGCTTCGACTGGCGAGGAATCGTTATTGGGCCAGGAGGAGGCCGGAAACCCGGACACAGACAATTTTCCTGCCACTGTTGTCTCGTGACGGGGCACGTTCGACCTAATAAGCATAGGGGGGTTCCGAGGGTTGGCTTGTACGGAATGGCATTTATGACTCTGACTGCGATACCGAACCCAGCTCCACCGAGCTGTAAGTGCTTCCGTGTGTCTAACCTCAAGCAGGGGTAAGGGAGCTGAATCGATTTTCCATGATAATCGAGTTGAATGCACTGCAAATTTGGTTAAGTTTTTTGCCACCTGTGCAGGGATGAAATGGCTGGGAAATCGCATTTTGTTTGACGCTAAGAATGTAGAAGAGAATGTAGCTGATATTTGATAAGCAGTAACGTTGGTTCGTACCTTTGTTTTTGCCCCCGCTTCCTTGGCTCCTGGCTGGGAGTCGACGACATCGCCAGAGGGGACAGACTAGTCAGTCGGTAGACTATTGCTGACGGTGTCCCTCGACGCGCTGTCCGCTTGCCTAGTGATTGCTCTTACCCACACTCTTTTTGTCGCTATTTTCGTTCCTTTTCGTTTCTTTCAAACTTCTAATTCCATTGCACTCTTATCTCTTTCTTTTCATTCTTTTTTTGAAAGAAAGGGTAATAGTATTTGAAGAGATTCTGGTCTTGATCTTGGTCAAAAGCCAAGTTTTTCGGTCTGCTCCGGGTAGACAGACTTGAGCGTATAGCAGTGAACAAGAGGGAAAGACAAGAATTCTTAGGAATTTATTTTTCGAAATGTATGTACCTTTTCACACATATGTTTGTATGTATGAATGTTTGTATGTTTTCCCCACCTCATCACCGCAGTCATGTCAATGACACACTTATCGAGGCAATCGGGAACTAAATTGGGAACATCTGGGATACATTTATTAACCATTTTATTTCATATGGACTCGCAATTGCGAATATAAGTTGGTATATGTTTTTGCACGGAAAATTGTCGGTCTGTATAAAATTCCATCATCCTTATGATATTATGAGTACAATTCATTGGTATTTCATGCATTTGACAGGGAGGATACATATGTACCTACGTACATATGTAAATTCCACAAATATCCCAACGTAAGAGCCCCTTGTAAATGCGGGGGATGGCATTAGAATGGCGCCAAGTTGCTGTTGGGTGGGCTGTCGCCTTCTCGTCAGCGCCAGAAGTGGGCGAAACTGGTGGGGAAGGAACCTATTTGTGGCACGCAAACAGCTGAGCCAAAGACAAAGGACACCGGCACGAAAACAAACAAATGCTCAAGGAGCAGCAAGGCAGAAACAGAAAGCGGCAGTTGTCTGCCCAGTAAAGGGATCAATAAGATGGGGAAGCCGCTGAATGAAAGGACACATATCGTATGTACAATAAAAAAAAGTTCGCATTTAATTCATTTTGATATCGCTGTTTGTACAAGGTTTGTCCCGAATCCTTCTGAAGGCCGCATAACTCGGGAGCCTAACAGGCCTTATGGGATGCGCGATGAGTCATCCTCGGGCACGCATAACATCTATTCCGTTGTCAGTTCTTTATGGCCGCAGAAAGGAGTGCGGCTACCCGGGGCAACATCGTAAACTTCCCATTGCGCGCCGTTCGTTGATTATGAAATTTTATTCGCTGCTCAATTAACTCTTGTCGAGCACGCGATGTCCCACATAGCCAGCCAGGCCCGCTCTGGGAGATGTATGCAAACAGTCCGATGTCGCTCAGTGGGGTTTCAGATTGCGGTAGGTTGGTGTTCCTCTTGGCCTCTAAATGGCGCCGATTGGTGTCCTTTTGGTTGTGGATATAGTTCCAAGCCCACTCCGACGCTGGTGCTGCCTTCTTGTCCCTAGCCGAACTGTGCAATTCGTTTCCGTTGTTCGTTAGGAAGACCTTCAAGTGGGTGGAACGCACTCCCGAAAGTAAAAATCGATGCGGGTCCCAGTTTGACGGACACATAAGGCATGTTCTCCCGATGTTTACAATATGCAGAATGTTGCCTCTTTGCCTGCAACTCGGACTTTCCCTTGCATAATGACGTATGCCTTCTCCCTTCTTCACCCCCTTCCGTTCTCTCAGAATAAATTAAGTTTAATTGAAATTTTTGCACAAACATAAACTCTCTTCGACCGCCGATGGCTCGCCCCTCAGCGGCAAGCAGTGGCTTGTGATGTCATCAAATCGAAGATGTAGTATAATGGACGTGGCAATTTGTGAGGGACCTTGAGCCCCTCTGATCGTGACTCACTCATTGACTGCTTTGCCTTGCTCACACGAGTATGTAAAGTGGGTTGACTTTGTCTCCTTTTATGGCGTTGCTCTTGAGCTGTGGCATCTTGATTGGATTAGATTGATGTATATTGAAGGATGATTGGATGGGATGGAATAAACACATATATCCGAATTCTGTATTTATTTTGTAGCTTATTCCCCCACGTGAGAACATTCCTCACCTTTTTGAGCTTCAAAAACTTTTGGCGTAGAAACATGACGGAAGTGGCTTAAACCTTCAAAGCCCTTTTTTCATCAGAATGATGCAAACAGAGTGGGGTAATTATGGCTAATTTCTAGAATCCTAACTCTGCCACGGAGATGACCCACCTCGATGTAAAAACTCGGGACTGGGACCAGACCCAGACAAACTAGAGCGAGCAGCAGACAAACAGCACGTGGTTTCAACACAATAAGTGAATTCCGTGAATGAATCACGTTTGCTGGGATTTCTATTCTGTGGCTGAGGAGATGGCCACCCCTCTCTCCTCTGCTCCTGGCAATTCTGCTCCTGCAGTGCATTGGAATGGGACGAGCGTGTTCTCCGTCGACAGAGATTCAGTTTTAGGTAAGGATGAGGATGACGATGACGCGTCGAGACAAGTACGCAAAAAAAGAAGAGAAAATAGGAGAGATGGGAGAGGAGATGCCTGCAAGCCAACTAATGGCAGCTGCTTCTCCTGGTGGCATTGTCCTCTGCCGCTGTCCTTGCAGAGAGAGAGACAGACGGAGAGGGGTGGTTTGGCTCAGCTCTGTATAGTGCAGTGCGGTGTCTGGCCTCGCTTACAGCATTTACTCGTCCTTCGTCCTGCGTCCTCCTCTCCGTACGTCCGTCCTTCGCTTGTTGCCACTCGCAGAAATGTTGGCTTTTATTTTTCGGTCTGCAAGAGGACGCAGGAGCGGCAGACGCGAAGGCTTATGATGTGCGCATCGCACATCCCGCAGCCAGGGGGTTGGCGCTGGCATTCGCTTATTTTGTTATTTATTTTCTATTTCGTTCTCTATTACGCCTCTGTCCCCTGTCCTTTGTCCTATGATCCTTCTGCTCTGCTGCCTCTCTGCTCCTCTGTTGTGTTCGCCCGTTCGTCGCTGTTTTGTTTTGTGCTCTCGACTTGAAACGTTTCAGTGAGGCCTCTGTTGCCATAGCGGCGGTGAAAATATTGGGAACAGGCGTTAGAAAATTTCATCTGCATTTCCGGCGTTGGCAAATTGGATTATAGCTTTCCTGTTTCTGTTTATTTTCCAAGCGGCAAGTGCCAAAAATGGAATTATTCGTCTGGCTCACTCGCTGTGACAGTTTTAATTCCCATCCCATCCAATGCCGCAAATGATGCATCCAGCACCAGCAACAACCACAATAAAGCACCGCAGGCGCCATTTGCCATGACATTTGGAAACCGCACGCGTCCCACTCCCGTCGTCCGTTCCGTTCCGGATCCTTATCCAGATCCTGGTATTGGTGTCAGCGCACCGGTTGGTGTCCCGCTGAACGGCGCCCGCAACCAATTATTTCACGTCTCTGTAAACAAACAAACAAACAAAGGCATGAGAAGGAGAAGCAGAGAAACGGGCCCATAAAATAAAAATTAATTTCCACACACTTTTCGAAATTGTTATTTGCCCCGAAATTTCTCCATCACAGTCCTGGGTCCCATCTCGCTCTTAGCCTGCGTGTGCCCTGCAGTGCTGCTGACTGGTAACCGGGAAACCACCCCGCAAATAAATGTCCCGTTTGCAATGCATCCATATCCATCCCCTTTGTCAGTGCCGTTCGGCTCCTTTGCATTTTGTGATATGTTACTGCTGGAATTGCCCTCATTGTTGTTGGACTTATTGGCTGCGCTTCGGGGGCGGCTTACCACCCCCCAGTCCTCCTGCCTGCCACCCTTCTCTCCTGCCACCAGCTCGGTCTCTGATCACAGGTCGCATGGGTCGCATGGTTTGCATTCTGGCCATTAACATACTCGACACCTCACACTTCCTCCAGTGTGGGGAGGAGTCCTTTGCTGAAGTGCTCTGCGTGCCTTTGAAATTGTTGTTGTTGTTTCTGCTGCTCCTGAAGAGCACCTGAAGTTGGTTTATGGGGTAAACAATTTTGCTTTCGAAAAGCTCTAACTGCTATGTTCGAGAGGGGGCGTGATGGGAGGATAATCTGTGCGGTGATCAGAGAATCCTTCCCAAGTTTTCTACAGCATAAGAACCCGAGCTGTAATCCAATCTCTCAGAGTAGAAACCCTTTGGATGCCTTCTTGATGGCGTATTCAACTCTAGTCCCTGACATTGTCAGGCCAGTGCAAGTGCCACGGCGTTTACTTCCAGCATCAGCAGGGAAAACGGTTTTACTCAGATGCTGAACTTTTCAGGGGTAAATCCTGCCAGCAAGGCAGAGGGGAGCAGTAAGCAAGGGGGCCTGCAAAAGTTTACGCTAAATTTAAAAAATACAAAGGAGCAGAACACAGAAGAAGGCCCCCAGTCCTTCCCAGTCAATATGTGTGCACAGCTGTTGCGAGCTCAAACCCAGACTCAAACTCCACCTGGAGCAGACGTAAGCTGCTGCGTTGCGCGTCTTAACTCACCCACAAAAGCGAAGGAGCCCTGAGGCTGAGGCAGGCAGGCAGAGAATGCGATATGCCCAGCCCTTGCCACTCCCCCATGCCCGTTTCAAAACATCTTCCAGCCTTAGTCCCCCAGTCCTCAGTCCCCCCTTCTTCAGTCAATGCTGAATTGCATTTTCGCAGAACGACCACAGACGGTTACAGTTGGAATTTATGAAACCTCGGCCGGGCCACGGCCAAGGTGAGGTACTCCACGACTCGGTTGGAGTTCCGTCAGCTTCTGATAAGAGCTGCGACCGCTTAAAGATGCCCGAAAGCAGCTCGAGCACACACGCCCCCACTCATGGTCCCACATGAACACAAAGCAGAAGAAAAAGGAAAACGAACAGCCCTTGCAGGGGATCACAAAAGGTACTTGACGACAGGCGAGGAATAAGTCCATGGACAATGGAAAATCAATAGACACCGGACCGGACTCCAAATGCGGAATCTACGCAGTTTGAATGGAGTCTCCCCTAGGCCTCCCCACCCAACCTTTCTGCTCCCACAAGCTTGTTTGTGTTGGCGCCATGTCATGTCGGAAAATGTCTCATGTTTGGGCTCCTGTCCTGCAACTTGACATCGTGTCCTGTAATGGCGGTCCCTGTTCCTCGGACGTGCTGTTGCTGCAAATTACATAAATACATATACATATGTACGAGGTTACATAACTCCGTCGAATATTGCTATTATAAAGTGTTCCCTTGATCCCCGCACACTCGAAACCCCACAATGGAGGAGTATATGGCGTTGTCGGGTTGGCGGTACCAATTTTCCATGCGGTTGGCTACCGGGACCGGGACCACATAAGTGGCTTGGCATGAGTCCCAGGGCTGCTCCGTTGTCCGTTTCTGTTGAGGCCAGGTCCAGGTTCCAGCCTAATGGACTGGGTCACTGCAATTGTGTGTTATTGATTTATGGGGGCAGTTCGAGGAGGAGTCATGAGAGGCATGGGGCATCTAGTTAGAGTGATTGAATTCGTGGCTGGCTGGGAAGCAGAAACCACAAATCAAAATAGAATTCTGATAGAATTGGCTGCCGAAACAAGATGATGAAGACATCCAAGCCATCATTGGCAGACTCAGTTTCAGCTTGCACTGCCACAAATCTAATCTTGCATTTTGACATTGTGCATGCCCTCAGCACAATGTCGTCTTATGTCCAATGTCCAATCTTCTCGCACACACACACACACAGACACTCCATCGCATCACCATCTATCCCACAGATGGGATTGGATATCAAGTGTTGTGTGCCACAATTCCAAGAGTCTGTTGCGGACACGGACATGGGCATGAGAGTGCAACTACAACTGGGATTGGGGGCTACTTGGGTTGAGGTGCGAAGCACAGCGGGGCACACAAGCAGTACACATGAATGAGTGCCAGCTCCAATTAAAATGCCGTTTATCCAAATTTGTTTTCTGTGTGGATTGCAACGTTATAATGAACTTCGCCTGCGAACAGTGCAAAACAAAAGTATGTGGCGCCAAACAATCAGCACAGCGATAAACATCTACACACATACATCGCCACGTGGGCGTATCTGGCATCTGTAATTAGACACAGGCCCAAAACCAATTAACAGGCCCTCGGAGCTCGGGGTTCCATAATTCCTTGGGAATTCTTTCATCGTTTCCCTTTCCCTGCCAAGAGCTCCATCGATTGAGTGGGTAGCAATCAACTCCACCGTTTCCACCGACTTTAAGGTGCGTCACTTATTGGTATAGTTGCTGGATTACCTTTTGGATAGACCAGCCCCTAGGCACCTCAGCTCCTGTCAATCAGCTGGCAGAGCTGACCTCAAAAACTATGAACTTTTCACACCTTAAATGGCTGTCAATAGCCGCCCCAGCCGGAGACCTAGGCTAGGCCAACAGTTCTCATGGCATTTCACCGTTTACCTGCAACATTATAGCATTTTATGGCCTGGTCATTAAAATATCCGTGGTTTCATAATTAATTAGCAAACGACGTTTTATGTCCCTGCAATTTTATGTCCAAAGTCATTCATTTGTGGATATGGGATGGATGGTGGGGAGGGTACGCAAATTAGTTGAGCTCTGACCTCAGCTGGGGAGAGGGGCTCTCAGCTCTCTTCCTGTCGGCCAGATCCCATTTCGGTGCATGTATCGTGCCACTCGAGCACACAATTGCACTGCCATCTCTACCACTGCCCCTTCCTTTCTCTGGCGTAAGCCTCAATTTCCTCTTGGCGGCTTCTTTGTTCCAGCCTATTCTACGGATTGCTCCACGAGCACCAAAGATTACGCTTGTTGACTCTAAGCAGCAAGCGGCAAACTGGTTTTATTTTACCTCTTGGAAGCATGGCCAAAGACCAAGACCAACACCACACATACTATATGCCACACAGTTGGAAGGCCAAAAAGACAGGCGCTGCAATTAGTCTGGCTCAAGTCGTGGCTAACGGTAAAGCATATTGCCCCTGCCCCTGCCACTGCCACTGCTGCCGCCGCCATAAGAGTTCATAACCATCAGTTTGTTGTGGCCTAATCTTTAATCGCATCAAGCTCGTGAGATTTGGCGTCGATAATGTCGGCTCAAGTGATAGATTACCATGTGCAGCTCTCCAGCTTTAAGCTCTGGCCCCAGAGCGACTTTTCACTAGATGGCTACTCAGCAAGAGCACTGAAATTGGAAAATGGAAACTGAACTCGACAGCAGTGGCTGCTTGGATGAGGATTATCTTTGTGATTCTACAGACGGGTGGGAAATTCATCTTTAATGGCGTTTTAGTGTTTGGCCTTTTAGATAAGCACCGATTTCCGATCGATTTCCAGTGTAAATAATATGATTTTCTTGTTCACTTGCAGATTAATTAAATTGGCTCTTGGAATCGGCACAACCGACTGGTAAGTTGGGAAACTTGTTTGCCCATTGGACACGCTACTCTTGGCACGGGCCGACTTGAAAATAATAATCACTTATACCTCGATAAAATAAGTGGGCCTGAAACCATCTCCATCTCCGTTTCTATATATCTATAAGATGCCCTTTCGAGGCCTTTGTGTGTCCCTTCCTCTCAAGTGGGGTTCCGTAACTAACTGTCTGTACATAAATATGTATTGTATACCGCTGTAAGTCCATTTACGGACTATTTCGTTTCGATTGCATAGATAGTTGCAGGGGAATCAACTGGCGACTGAATCACCATCACCTGCTTCTTCGCACCATTTATGAGTATTCGCCATTTCGGAGGCTCCCATTGCGGCTCCTTATCGGGATGATAGTTACGTACCCCATTCGAATGGGGTCTTGGATTGACGGACTCTTGCCTGCATCACTTGGTGTGTGTCAATTAGACACGACAACAACGACAACTATGACGATGGGCTTAAAACAACTTCATTACCATCAATCTTAATTGAAAAATCATCGAGGCTGCTTGTAAATTTAGTGAGAAGAGGCGTCTCCGTTCCGGCTGCCTCCTGCACAGCCGCCAGCCCAGTTCCCGCGATGATTGGCTATCCTCCGCTGACTACAGCGCTGAGACTTAAGTAGTCTGAGTTATGGGACAGCCTCCACGGCAAACAAGTCGGATGGCAGATGGAGACATGCCTATAAAGTAGCTGCGTTCTCAGCGAATGCATCTCTATCTGCCACTGGGATATCTGTATCTGTATCTTCATCTGCTTCTGCATTTGCATCCGACTGCTCCTCTGCGTCTTGTTTGCTCGTTGCTCGCGTCGCGCCTTGTCCGGAGCAAATTGTGGGCAATCATTGTCAATTTACAATGCATATGCAAAACGGAGGATTCTGACTATGGACCTGTACTTGTCGGATGGAAGAAAGTGCATAGACAGCAGCAGTGGAGCCTCGACAGTGGCTCCAGCATAACCATTGCCCAAACACCGTTGCTCTAAGGCACACTCCACTGCTCCTACTGCCTTCTCCTCACGACAGTCCACAGCCGCGTACCCACCTTGAACTACGAGCAACAACCCTGTCTCTGGCTTTGGGCAAGACGTAGGGGGAAGGGGGGCTGTTTCTGTTGTTGGGGAACACTTATCCGAGCTGGGAGATCAGTTTGTGCTCCGAGTTGCGGGTCTGGGGGTCGTAGTGGCTCGTTTGCTTTTATTTACCTTGTCTGCGATTTGGCGAGCCCTTCCCCCCATCCCCTCTCCATCGCTCTCTTCTTTCCATGCTTTCAGCTGGAGCTTCGCTTATTTATTTTTCACTTTTATTTTATTTGTATTTTGTCGTCCACAAAATTTGTATGTTTTGTGCGTTTGCCTTTGGCGTTTATTTATTCCTGCATTTGTTTTGAGCGCTCGCCTCCAACGGCAACAACTTTTATTGCTTTCGTTGATTGCAATTGGTTTTGTTGCTTGTTTCGTGCGAAAATAATTCAAATTGGTCAAACGAATTGTCAGAGGGAGGGCGGAAGATGGGCTCGGATCGGGACAGTCCGCATCAGTGGCGAGTGGGAGTGGTCGTGGGGCCAACCAATCTATAAATTGGTGACAGCTGGTGTCGGCTTTTAATTTTGGGGAAAGAATCAATATAAAGGGATTTCATGGTACGTGAATCATGAAGCCATCATGAAGCTGGCTAGTACTAGCTCTGACCCACTCAAAGTCAAAGTGCTTGGATGCTCTTCACTTAGTGAGAGTAGGTTGCGCAACTCCCCTAAAGGTGGAGGGAGGGGTTAGAAGGAACGACGCTTATCGCGTTTAACGCGCCATATCACTGCACAGAGAGCTACCAAGAACCGACAAGAACCAACAAGAACCACGACCCAACCCACTCAACCCACACAGAACAGAGCAGAACAGAAGCCCTCCACTGGAGAAGCAGTTACAGGCCATTAGGTGCTCGCTGGCATTCATGGGATGCGTGTCAGTGTTGTCAAACGATGTCATCAGCCATTGTCGATGCCAAACGCGGAGCGTCGGCAATTTCATTTCGTTTAATGTCAAGTGTCTGACACACATTTTTTGTCCGCATCCCCTGACCACACACTCGTCTAGGTATGTACTCATATCTTGAAGAACATCGCAGATTACGACAGAGCAGCCTTAATTAGAAATGCAGCGACTGCTGCCTCTCGGGCAACCTCTGGAGTTCTGGTGCAACGGTGCCCAGACTCAATTATATAATTACTCTGGCTGACATTCTGTAATTGCAAGTAGTCCAGTCGTCTGCTGCGGCAGGAATTGGGAGTGGAATGGTAATAAGTAACCGGTCTTTATCTTCTCCAATCACCTCTGGGGCGTGGCTGGAAGGAATGCAACGAATGCAGCAGAAAAAGTCACCACCTGCCGTCGCCCATTAATATCATTTATTGCTCGGCATGACGTTGCCCACTTCAATTGTTTCCATATCTGTGCTAATCGTGCTCCACTTTGGCTCACGGACTGCTCACATTACGGATTGTTCTGCCATTGTTAAATGTTGCAAATGGTTGCATGCTAATTGCAAGACCCCGTTTGGGGTACAGTTCTTCGCCATTTCGTAGTCGTGTAATTCGGAAAGGTCTCGCTCCAGAATTCCCAGGAGATACTTTGGAATCTTTTCCGCAGCAGGAACCCGCAGGAGGAACCAATCTAAGAATTAGCCTGTCTAATTTGTGTGTTCTGGGGAATCGAATACTTTGTGTGGACCCAAATTGTTTCTGGTATTTGTGATTATGACTGGTTTGGAATTTGCGTGGTACACAGAACCATTTTAATAGCATCTGATCTCATTTGACGGATATGCTCCATAAACCGCGTCCACGACTACAGGAACAGCAAACAGCAAAAAGCAACAGAGGCAGAGACAGAGAGACACGCTTTAAAATAGCTGCAAACGCGAATTAAATTGCTAGAAATTGAAAGTGACACTGAGCGCAAAGCACGAACTCAATTTCTGGCCTGCAATGGCCATACATAGATTCTTCCATTAGAACAAATTGCATGGCGTCCAGAGCAGAGCGTCCCCTGCCAGCCCGCCATTCGGCACGCCTTTACTCATTCCCGAATCTCCCATTCAGCGACCAGTGGGGCATACAAATTGAACATTTAAAGGGCTTAAGTGGGAAATTGAGAAACCCAAGAGGAAAACAAAGTCCCCAAAAAGAGGAAACAAATTGCAAACGACACTTGTCTCGCGTCTTCGTCAGCTCAAGACTTAAGTAGCCCAAATATTATGTAAACAAAAGGGGCGACAGCGAAGAGCCGCCGTTATGGGGCTTAGCCAAATGCAAATTGTCAGTTAATTACTGCAGGGGGTAGAGCTGGGGGGCTGGGTCGCTTATTGGGACTAAAAGGATCCAATGACAAATGTGGGAAGTGCAGCCCAAGGCCCAGGCTGGAATGTTGTGTACGAGTATGACTATTGTGTGTTGTCGTTCGGTGCATACTCTCAACGTAATGGAATTGGATAACAATAGAACGCCAGTAAAACCATTCTGTATGGGATATGTTTACCCACAAGCGGAATTCGTGTCCATCAAGTAGAAATCATCATGTCAGCTGGACGTATGAGCGATGTTCATCGATGTTCGACGAATATTGATGGCCTGTCAAAAGTCATCGTTGAGAGCTCAGCAAATACTTGTAAATACGGTGGATAGGCATAGGCTGCAGCTCACTTGCAATGCGATACATGCATCAATCGTATCCAAAAGATACTACGTAATGAGTGCAGCATGCGATATGGCAGTCGGGCAGGTCTGGGGTCTGGCTCTCACTGGAGCGCATCGTCCAAGTGAATTCTGGATCTACGTCCATTCCCCCCTCTCTCCCAGCTAGTGCGTAACTTGATGCCTCTTCGGCATCTGTCTGATGGCTGCTGTCAATGAGGTGCTAATGGAAGAGCCCTGGCATTGAGCTGGTAATGTCGCTTCGTCTCCATGCTCCACTGCTCCACTGCAGCGCGGAACACGCTCCACTCTTGGCCACAGCGTTACAGTTAGGCGGCGTGTATGCCACAACCGCAGTTATGATAAAAAGTTGTTGCTTCCTCGACAGCTTCCTCCTGACACCATGAATCGTTTTTCTTTGGGGGTAATCTGAGACAGCGTAACTCATCAAGGGGCCGGGCAGCCTGAAGATGGTTTGTGGCTGCATCAACTTCCAGTCCAACTTGCAATTCGCAAACGCTCTAGCTAGACACATAATACAATACGTGTACGTGAGGAATACTCATATTTACGAGCTATTTAATTTATTGTTTTATTGCCTGGAATGATGCCAAGAAGAGCCCCGGTACTGATGCCCCTGTTTACCAAACCCACGGCTAGATCTACATCACGTTCCGTTGATATATGCTGTATCAAAGCCCATTTAAATAATTAAATATCTAAATTGCAAAATAAACGGCAGCTGTTATAGAGCTCGTTAATAGATGAACAGAACAAAAAGTACCGGCATCCACATACACATCCACAAGGTCTCTGAGCGAGAGACGCTGGCGTGACGTTTGCCAACGTTGCCAAACGGCTTGAAACTCAAACCAAAATAGAGCCCAGCCCGCTCACGCAATTCATATTGAAATACTTTACACAACAATGTGGCAGATACAGCAGACACATTGTGTTCCGTAATTATAGTCTCTCGTCTCCGTTTCGTAGTCGCAATATGATTCGCGATGTTAACTCGTACAATATTCTTCTGAACTTCTAATGCTGACAGATGCGACTGTGATGCCCGATGGCTGCTTATGGTTTACATTTGCGCATGCAAATAAGCTAAAAAGCGACTTAAAAAGTATCCGAGTACGGAGCGGAGCAAGAGCGTCTGGGATGACGACATCTATATATAAATCTGGAAATTCGATTAAACCTGCTGGCAGTGCGGATTGTGTGAGCTATCGAAATGAGCACATTGACGAAGGAGTCACCTTTGTTATACGTACACTCGCACTCTCC